TTGCCACGATGTGGCAAGGAAGGCGATGGCGTCGCTACCGCTGACGTCTTAAACCTTATTTTTTTTTGGGTTTTTCACTTATTTCAAGGAATGAAGAGGCTAGGGTTTGCTCACCCTCAACCTCCACCATCCTCTTAAAACTTAGAAGAAATCCTAACTCATTTCCTCCATTGTTGAAGATTGCTTGAATGCTTTTGAGAGGTCTTGAATGAAGAAGCAAGAAGGAGTAAGACAAGGATCGGCAAGAGAGTCCCTAACTCCCTTCCTAGCTCAATTATGGACCCATGTAAGTGTTCAACGGTACACCTTTTTTTTTATTATAGAGTGGTAGATCTTGTATTTTGTCCCATTTTCTTTTTGATCTTGTTAGATGGGATGGTGAGATTTCATAAAGGTTGCAAGTTTATGAATCCATGTATCATTTGGAGTAGTTCATGATTTGGATATGAATTTTGGTGGGTTGATTAATCCATTCATAATATTTTGGTAATAATCCCCCATTTTTTTCCTAAGTTAAGTCCAAGACATGCATAGGGCATGCATGTATAACAAGAACCAATTTTTAGGTTGGTTTTAGTGTCATAAGATCTTCTGGATCAAATGGGATTGAGACTTAAGGGATTAAGTGCTTCTTGATTAAGGTCATGTCGTAGTTATGCTTTATAGAGTTAAGATTTGAGATCTAGACCTCTTGGTGGGTCCCAAGAGATAAAGTTGAAAACTTTATCCATTTAGACAATAATAATGATCAGATTTTGACATTGGAACCTATGTGATTAGAGGATTTAGCTTTACCCATTAAGACACTTTGAACATGGTGTTCACGGCGAGGCGTAGGTTATCACGACATGGTGACCGGGAAAAATGTATCAATTTTTTCGTCTGAAGGCCACAACATGGAGGGTCAACCTTGACCGTTGACTGTGACTTTTGACATGTGTTGACTTTTGGTTAAACACCTAGTTTTGGAAGGGAAACTAAGGTTGTACTTTATATGGTTGTATAAGTGGTTTATAGCATCTGTATTCATGTTAGTAGGAGCAGTAGCAATTGATCATTGTTTGTTAGGTGAGTCTCTTCACTATACTCACGTGTCGAAGGCACCAATGTTGGCCTACTAGATTATGCTAGTAGGATGATAGTGCCTTTATGGCACTTGCCGATATGCCAATATATGTTTGTTGTCTTTGTGACTCTTATTGATATGATTGTATGCTTAGTTGTAGGGGTGAAAATAAACCCAATACTAGATGAAAGATACCGAATGGGGTGAAATAGACCTAGTTTTAGTTTCGTTATGTTATGTGTATTTTTATGGGGTATTTTGGAGGAACTTACTAAGTTTTATGCTTATAGTTTTATGTTTATAGTTTTAGATACTTCCGGTTCGAAAGGGAAGGGTCTGACATAATCGCACCGCATCCACCAGCATTCTGCATTATATGTCATGATTTGTATTCTGATAACTATTTTATACATTATCACATTTAGATGGATGTTGAAATGAATGCACGACATTTCTGTTAGCTTTAAAATGAAAATTTTACATAGTAATTTTTGGGGCCTTATAATTGAAGACTTTGAAGTTGCTTAGAATATAAGAGGATATTTTGAAGGCTTCAATTTGCAAGGTTGCATTTGAACTTGTGATGATTCCTAAATTTATTAATATCTCATGCTTTTAACTAAAAATATGTTTTTTTTTTTTTTTTTTTAATACTTTGGTACCTAGTTATGAACAAAAATATTTTGAATATTTTAAAATATATTCGGACTGTATTTTTCACATAAATTGATATATATATATATATATATATATATATATATATATATATATATATATATATATATATATATATATATATATCAATGATTATGTAATGATTTAAAAACTAAACTAGCAATGAGTGTTTCAAAAATTACTATAAAGAAGAAATTTGAAAGATTGAAAAAGAAACATTTGTTCAAAACAAGATTTTAAGGTATTTTGATATATGTTTTGTTTGATGCATTTTACATGCATCTTAAAGCACGTTTTTGTTAGTGTTTTCTTATAAAAAGCTATCCATCTCCCTTGTTTTACTATAAATTGCATATTTCTCTTTATTTTCATAGAATGCTTGTACTACTCACTTTTGTTATGATTTTCAGGGCAAATTAACATGGATATAAAATATGATAGTAAGAGGATGCAATTAATGGAGCATTGGAGTCTAACTGGAGTTGGGAACTTATGAATGATGTTGAGGAATGCTTGGAAGTTTCTTTAATCAAGGAAACTGGATGTTTCACTCGAAATTCAAAACATTTGATCGTGCTTATACACAAAACATGCTCGTATGAGAGCCTTGCATATGTTTTTCCTCATTTTGAAGTCTAAGGAAGAAAGTAGAAAATTCGATCCCGCTTCCTCCAGAAACACGGTTGTGTTTGTGTCACACAGTTAGAAAATCTTCAAATTTCATTTGGGTGCCTTCTTGGGTACAATCGATTTCCAAAAATTTGATAGTGTTTTCTTTAGAAACACAATAGTGTTTTTATTTAAAGTGTTAGGAATGGTAACACACTTCAGTAAATAGGCTTTTGGACGTGATTTGAATTAAAGCACGATAGTGTTCCTCAAAAGTAAGACCGTGGAATGGGTCGACGACTCTCTATATCTATAAATAACACCTTATAACACTTTTGTCGCGCTAACTTGGTTCTAGACGGCTCTGTGACAATTTTATGAAGGTTTTGAGTGAAGAAAACACATTTGAAGAACACGATCCAATTTGTAACATTAATTTAGTAAGATTTATCATTCCAAACTTAATTTTATCTTATGTAATTCGTTTTTAGCCATATCAGGCTAAAAACCCTAGATTTCAATTTCTAAAAAGACTCAGACTTTTCGTGCAAGTAATCATTAGACACTATTTTTGGTATTGTTTACTATTTAGTTTGATTAGTTTTATGATTAATTGAGTGTTTGATTTGATGCAATTTCTATTAGCCATTTTTATTTTTATTGAGTCATTCCAGCTATCTTATTGTTTAGATCCGTAATTGTCTTTATTAATCAGCAAAAGTAACAAATATTAGATTGGTTCTATGTTTAGGATTTAACTCTAATATAAATTGATCAGACAAATTTTTACGCTTTCGAGCTTGTAAGAAGTATTTGACTTTACTGGGAAATTTTACACTGTGTCTAATGTTGTTTTTCTCACTTACTTAAGAGTTTGTTTAGTTAATTCAATAAAATGTAAGGTTTAGTTCAAATGACTTATTTTGGTTAAACACTTTATTAAAGAAAATTATTAGAGCTTATTAATGATTTTCAGTATTAGTTTAAATAGTACACAATTCAATAATCGGGTTGAAGGATACATGCATGATTAGGAGAGTCGCCGCTAAATTGAAATTCTTTTTTATTTTCTCAATTTTTCTCAAGTATTCAAATTGTGTTTTCTTTTATAAATTCCTATTCAAATTAGTTTTAATAATCATTACCCCCACCCCCCACCCCTACATTTAAATTTCTATCAGACTAGTACATGCCTTACGCAAGAAATGCATAGACTTAAAGACGTGTCACTGTGCGATCTTGCTTTCCTATACTACCTCTTAGTGCATTTGAGCAACATTTTTATTCATATTATTTATTTGTTTAGGCGTACGACACGTCCTAACATGTTTAAATAATCGATCCAACTCAATACCCAAATACATGTAATATAATTTGGTTTTAGATATTGATTACATTTTCAAATATAAAGTACCCGAATAACCTGACTCAAATAACCCGAACCCCAAAAAACACAATTAACAGGCCTAATCAAAGTTGGTTACTCATTCTTTTCTAGAATGGGTGGAGGAAGGCTCTGGTGGATGAAGGCGTTGACAAATGAGTGTAGGTTGATGGTTAGGAAGGCTTAGCTAAGGGCGATGCTACAACTCGTTCAACGAGGAAATATTGAGGCAATAAATGTTTAGTGTTATAAAAGGAATGAGCCCTAGTTTTATCTGTCAACATGTTTTTATGACTTGGTAAGAGGCTTTTGGACCAAGTAAGGAGATAAGCTTGTTGATATCAAACGCTCTTATTTAACCGAGTCAAATGTAACCTCTTACAGCTTGTTGATATCAAACACTCTTATTTGATCGAGTCAAAGGTAACCTCTTACTGGACCTAGTAAGAGGCAAATCAAACAAGCCCGGAGACATAAGGAAATGGAGGCGGTGCCAAATGGGAGATGAAAAGTGCTTTTTAAAAATTTTCTATATTGTTTTTTCTTCATAGTGACTTATGAGTAGGGATTAATTTTTTAACCGAAAAATCGAAGCGAAATATGAACCAGAATCGATTAGTGGTATTCAGTCCGATTCTCGGTTCTTAGATTACAGCTTATTCAATTTCGGTTATCTAGTTCCATCCACTTCGGTCTAGTATCGGTTTCGAAGACCTTATTTGATAGAACACTTCTTAGTAGAACTAGTACCAAACCAGAATAAGAACCGATCAGTGATATTCGGTCCAACTATTGATTTTTAGTTTACGGTTTATTCGATTTTTGGTTACTTGATTCCGAACCAATTTACATGCCTCTATATGATCTCCATTTTTATATTAAGGAACTAGATGAGCTTTTTCAAATGGTACCTATATGTAATTCTTCATTTCCTTACACATAATTGGGCTGGACGTGAATTGGGTCATCCCTAGATAGTGCAGATAGTTTACCTAGTTATTGTTATTTGGTTCTTGGATTTTAACTTGGGCTCCGATTTATGGGTTGGGTTATAATTTCCAAATTCCCAACCTCCCAATTTAGCAATTGACGCAAAACAGAGGGTGTGAGTGAAGTTTCCCATTTTGTGAAGATGATGAAGAACTAACCAACCAATCGAATAGAATCAATCTCATAGAATACAGAGCAAAAGCAAATACACAAGTATGCCACCAATCATAACATAATCTTCTTCAAGATTATTTATCCCAAAAACTACAACTAGAAATGGCTTTGTTGAGACTTCCATCCCAATTCCCAATACCCCTTTACACCACTTCCACTTGCTCCATCTCTCAATCCACCCACATCCTCTCCGTCGCTTCCCCCCACCACCGTAAACAGTACCTGCGCCACCGCAGTACAAATACATCCAGAAGCCTTGTGGTTGTTGGTGCTAGCAAGGAAGATACCGAGACTGAATTGAGTTTCCCTGCAGAATCTAATATCAATTCTACTTCAACCACTGCAACCACAACTGATGATGATGAAGAAGAAGATGATGAATTTGAAGAAGACCCAGATCCGCAAGACCTCGAATATGTTTCCCAAATCAAAAGAGTTAGTCTCGTTTGCTCAAAATTCCCCAAACCCATGTTTGTGTATTTTCTTAAAATTCGTCCTTGTTTTGGCTGTGCAGGTTTTGGAGCTCTTGAAGAAAAACAGAGACATGCTGTTTAGTGAGGTAAAGATAACCTCTGTTTACTCGATCTTGAATTACAGAAAGCTCAAAAACATAACTTTAACTCAACTTTCGGATTATGCCAATTGATTTTATGCTTCGAATTTGTAGGTGAAGTTGACAGTGATGATTGAGGACCCTCGAGAAGTTGAGCGGAAGAGGCTTCTTGGGATCGACGATGCTGATACCCCAACACGAGAAGAGTTAGCTGCAATTCTCGAAGAAGTTAGTCCTTTTCTATCATTGTTGAAATGTAATTGAAATCACAGAGGCCCATTAACAATCACACCCTATATATATATATATATGAGTCTCAATAGTCATCCTTCTGGTTTTAGGTGAATGAAGGGAAAATCCCGAGAGACAAGATTGCCCTTCAAATGCTGGCAGAGGAAATGGTTCAATGGCCTAATCTAGAGGTACATTTTGCAGCTTCGCTTCTAGGGTTTGTATACTGTGTTACATTTTGAGATAAATCGAAGTATTTTAAACTGAATTCATGTGAAAAAAAAAAAAAAAGGTTGAAGCAACAAAAAAGGGGAAACGGAAATCGAAATATGCAAAGGCTACAGACACTGGGATTGATCCAGAATTAGCTGCAAAGAGGCTTAACGTTGACTGGGATACAGCTGCAGAGATTGAAGAAGAAGATGGCAATGACGAGAGTGATGTCCCTTCAGCTGTGGTACTTTTTTATTTATTCACAAATCAAAAACAAGAATGAATCCATGTCGTGATTTTTGTGTCATTTACATCAACGTAGTAAAATGTTTGTCATGTTATGTCATGTGTGGTTTATTGTTTTATTGTGAATTTACCATTTTGCCATTTTGAATAATGGGAAGTTTGTTTGGTGTAGGGATACGGAGCATTGTACTTGGTGACTGCGTTTCCAGTGATAATTGGTGTATCGGTGGTGTTGATTCTTTTTTATAATTCTCTTCAGTAAGAGTAAGAATATGTATTTTGTTGTTTACTTTTTAGGTTAGTTTGTAATATATCCAGTTGATTTGTGTATTTCATCTGGTTTACAGAGATTTTTGTGTTGTAACGATGTAAAGTTTGACATGATAATATACATGATTGAAGATAGAAATGAAACCCCAATGTGATTCAGTTCATGTTCTAGTCTTAAGTTTTATGACTCCCCAAAGAAGTTGTTTTGACAAAAAGAATTAACTTATCACCTCCGATCTTTTCAAGATTAGGACATAAGGAGTTTAACACTTTAATCGATAGTCATGTCGATTCACCATTGCATCAAAAGAAGAACACATCAAACAAATCGAGAAGAAATATACCAACAACTACATAAGAAGACTCAAAGATTTTTAGCTATCTTTTACATAATACAAACCAGGCTTCAACACTTAAACAAGCTTCTGTTGCACTATGGGAATACACACATTGGGGTATACAACTGAGTTTCAAGTTTTAGCAATTGTAATGGATTTTCTATTGCCTGTGGATGTTTCCTCTGCAGAGACTTGAAGAATCCCATTAGCATCTATACTGAAGCAAACTTCTAGTTCTGAATTACCATTTGGACAAAGAGTAAGGTTATGAAGGGAGAACTGCCTAAGTAATATGTTATTTTTAACATTCATGCTCTCACCCTGAAACACATCAATGCGTACTTTTGTTTTATTCACCACTGAGTAAAATATTTTTTTCACGCTTGTGGGTATGCATGTGTTCCTCGGAATAACAACACACATTATATCTTTTTCACCATTACATGCATTATCAACTGCAATACCAAGTGAGAGCGGAATGACATCTAACAACATCAGATCCCGATTAACGCTATCATTATTATCATTTCCACTTAACTTTTCAGCCAAGATTGCAGCACCAAATGCAACAGCTTCATCTCCATTCATGTCTTTGCTAAGTACTTTCCTATTGAAAAAATCCTCCAACATTCTTTGCACCTTTGGAATCCTACTTGATCCACCAACAACAACCACCTCATCCACTTCCTTCACATCCATTTTCCCATCATTCAAACATTTCACCACTATATCAACACACTTCTCAAAAAACCCTGAATTTAGTTCCTCGAATTTGGCTCTACTGATTTTAGTAGAAAAGTCGATACCCTTATACAAACAATCAACTTCGATTGAAGCTAGAGTTGTTGAGGATAAATCCCGCTTAGCTTTCTCACATGCAACTTTCAACCTTGCCAATGCTCTAGGGTTTCCACTAATGTCTTCACTGTGTTTTTTCTCGAATTCCTTCACGCAATGATTAACGAGTGTCATATCAAAATCTTCACCACCTAAATGAGTGTCACCTCCAACAGCTTTGACATCAATGGAACCTGTATTAACAACTCTCAAAAGCGACACATCAAAAGTTCCACCACCCAAATCAAACACCAATACATTCTTCTCCTTAACCCAATCTTTATCTTCCATATGATCGACACCATGTGCGATTGCAGCTGCTGTAGGTTCGTTTATCAAACGCAAGACATTGAGTCCTGCAATGACTCCTGCTTCTTTTGTTGCCTCTCGTTGCATGTTATTGAAATAAGCAGGAACAGTGATTACAGCATCAGTTACTTCTGTCCCGATAAATTCTTCAGCAGCTTCTTTCATCTTCTTCAGAACCATGGCCGATAATTCTTCTGGTGCGTATTTCTTCTCTTCGCCATTGAACTCCACTACAACAATTGGCTTCTCCGAAGGTCCTTCAATGACCTTGAAAGGCCACGACTTCATGTCTTTTTGCACTTGTGGGTCAGTAAACCTACTTCCAATTAGTCGCTTAACATCTGAAAAACATTTGAGGAGATCAATCATAGAATATATCAATTAAACGTAAAAAGAAACAAAACGTTGATCCATATTCTTCTTTTATTAAGTCTAAGTAGTTTTAACAAAAAAGACTTGCCAAAAACTGTGTTTGTTGGATTCCTTGCAATCTGGTTTTTTGCACCTTCGCCTACCAAGAGCTCTGAATCATTGAATGATATGAAAGATGGAGTGATCTTGTTTCCTTGTTCATTAGGTATGATTTCCACCCGGTTTTTTTTGTAAAACCAAACTCCAGCACATGAATAAGTAGTTCCAAGATCAATGCCAATGGCAGCTCCTTTAGATCGATGAGACATTTGAACAAGAAAATAATGAAACGAGAGGGGTGAGGAGTTTATATAAATCAAAATAAGAAATAAATACGATGGTGTTGTAGTCTAAGGGTTAAGGTTTGATTCTTGAATATGTATGGCATCCCTTGAAACTGGATTCTTTTATATTTAGAAAGAGTCTAAATTTGCAATTAAATTTTATGGCACAAGAATCTAACAGTCGCCTTACTAGTTCACGACTCTACGTTATTCAAAATTACTAACATAGAAAAGATTCTTGGTAAAGGTGTGCCTCTTCGGTTTTCAGAACGAAATTCTTTTCACACATCTCCAAAGAGTCATGCATAAAGACTTGACTAATACGACTTTGGACCAAAGTCTAATCAGTTGTTTTTCACTTTTTATTGCTTTTAAGGCCAATTGGATCAACGATCACGGAGGGCATTCGTGAACACCACCCCAATGGGTTGTGATCGTGAACACCACCCCAATGATTGTGATCGATCATAGTTGTGGTGTTTTCTGGTGTAGACAACAAACCATAACGACCAATAGGAAACCGAGGGGTGGGTTTTGACTCTCTTGACCTTTTGATTGGTCGTTTAATTTTTTTAAAAATATTTATAATATATTTTCATAAAAGTCGGATGACTGGACAAATCAACATCATTATGAGCCGGTGGATGTTGAAAATGAACGACATCTCTATCGACCGATAGGAAGAAATAAAGTAAAGAAAGCAGCTCCTAGTTCATGTTCTAGCGTTATCCATCATTTTTGAGTAAAATTTGATCAATATATCCAACTACAAGAGAACAAAGTTGCGATCGATGATGATTTTGACGGAAAAAAAAAATTATTGTTTGCACCATTACAAAGTAATGCCGATTTAGAGGTTCTTAAAATGAAATTGCGATGGGGAAGATTTGAAGATATTTCTTGCCAAGAAAGAATTTGTCCGAGTGAGATTGGAATATTGATTCTTTTTTTCTATGTTTGACATTTTTGAGATTTTTTTGTTAGTTTTTTTTTTCTTTTTTTAATTTTCGGTTACCTTTTTGAATTTTAATCAATATATTTTTAAATTATAATGAATAAAAAAGCTAATTTAAAAAAAATCTAGCATTTTATTATATACTTGATTTAATTTTAAACAAAAAGAACATGATGTACAAAGGTGGATAACGGTGGATATACCAACCTAATTTGGTTGTGTATTGCGATGAAATGTCGGTGACATAGAATATACCGTATTTATCGGTAGTGGTGACTACTCCAAAATAAGACGTGAACATTAACATGTAAAAGCCTAATGGTTAGGGGTTGGTGGGAAAGGTGTCATGGGCATAGATTGATGTTTCAAATCTATTTTTAAGACAACAATGTGATGTAGGAATAAAGTTTCTTTGCATGTTTCGATTTTTATAGTTTAAAAAGTGAGGGTAATTTGGTTTAGGCCAAGTGGAGTGGGGTGTTTTGGCATCCTATGTGGCGGATGGCATGAAAATAGGACATCTCCCTCGTGGGAAGATATGCCAAAAAACCAAAAGGTTCGCCATCATCTCTCTCTCTCTCTCTCTCTCTCTCTCTCTCTCTCTCTCTCTCTCTCTCTCTCTCTCTCTCTCTCTCTCTCTCTCTCTCTCTCTCTCTCTCTCTCTCTCTCTCTCTCAATTGGACATGTCTAAATGACAAAGAATGAACACAATTTCTTTAAAATTGTAAGTTGAACATGTGTTAAGGTAGAGCCTATCAACACCATCACCACTACTCATTTATACCTTACAATGAGTGTTTTAGAAATAATTAGTAGAAAGCCCCATGTAATGTTGGATCACAAATATTGATTTTAAAAATAAGTTTTTAATAAGACGTGTATATTAAAAAGCTTAACTTTAATTAGGTTACAAATTATACTTATACTTTATTAAAACATTGTATTTTATATTTTTCTTTGTAAGATATATTATTTTAAAAATCAAACCAATTTAAGCATTATATTTACCATTGAAAGTCTAATCTTGATTATTATATGGATATCAGATAGATATAGATCATCTATCTATTTTTTCCTATTGAGACATTGTATTTCCATTATTATTTTCTATTATAATGATGCATACTGAAAAACAAATTTATGAAATTGTTCTTTGATACATGTATGGTAATGTAGTTTACTTGTTTTATTGACAATGGAAAAGCACTTAGATACATGCATACATAATGACAATGAATATGTTGTAATGATAATTGCTAGTTGTGGTTGACTCAATGACCTAATGTAACATGAGAAAAATATTATCAATGTGTAAAGGATATTTATTAAAGTAGATCAAATTGAGAAATACAAATTTGAGGGGGCATATTGTAAATTATAGAAGTTTCACATAATAAAAGAAAGTGAAAAGGGTAGATTATTTACAAGAGACGAAATATATGTAACATCCCAAAAACCATAGTAAATTTTTTTATTTTTAAAATGTATTTTCAAAGAAAGTGTATGTCACCAAAACATTGTTTTGCAACCATGTCAAAATCAAAATAATAATATCATAGTACCTCTCAAAACATAGAACTACTGGATGATATGTACAATCACACATTCACCTTTCCTCAATCATTTGAAGTACATGAAACATTTAAAATCAACAAATGTAGGCAAATCTTAGTGAGTTCCCTCAAAATACCCTACACCACAATACACATACAATTCAAGCATACATGAGCCTACAGTTTGACTGCACTGCCTGGTAAGGCCTATACTACACTTGGACTACTCCATTGGGCCTACAGTCTGACTGGACCATCTCGCAAGGCCTATAGTACACATGGACCACCTGGGTATCATGGCCCTACAACACAAAGCAAGACCACCTCAACTCAACCACAATATGTCGACATATGAAAACAGATAAACAATAATGAGCAAAGCACATGTAATCATAACAGATCACCACAAGATACCAACATCCTACACACAAGGATACATACTGTAACACAAAGTATAGTGAGAAAAATCATCTCGTTGCCTAGCAGGTAAACGACACAGCTCAC